ATTTTATATAATTTTATGTTAAACATTTGAAAAGCTGTCAGATTTTAAAGGTTTATTTTATTCAGAGAACATGTCCATGTGCTGAGAGATGAGAGAATGGGGTGCGGGGGAGTGAGAATAAATAACCTTCCATGGGATCTCGCAAAGCTGAGTTCCTCCTTCCCTGGCCCTTTTGCTACTCAGGACCCCAGGTGCATGTGTACACACACATGGATACTACAGACACTTGGCATCCTTTCAAGCTGACCCAGTGATAAGAACCCACAGTCAGTCATGTGTCCTCCAGCACTACAGTTCTGTTTGCTATTGTCTGTGCCCCCAGGTTGGGCCTGCAAAACTTTTTCGCAAAGTAACTGTAATATTTTGCATTTCTACCAGCAGCTTATAAAGGTTCCTGTTTCTTCACATCCTAGCAGATCAACTTGTTACTGTCTTCCTTATTACAGCTATTCTAGTCTGCGTGAAATGTTATCCCATTGTGGTTTTCATTTGCATTTCCCTAATGACTAATTTGAATGTACCCAAAACTTGAATTCTAAAAGCTCTGCTTGGATAATATATTAACTAAGCCGTGGAACATAGGAAGATAATTGGAATTTTTAGAAAGAATAATAAAGCTATCGTTAGCTGTTGGCATAACATTGAACTGCAGATGTCCAAAAGGCAGTAGAAACTTAGGTCTGGAACTCAGAAGAGAATTTAAGGTGGGAGATGTAAATATGGGACTCAGCTACACAGCTAAGGCAGTTAAAATCATGAAATTAGATGGGAACACCAATAGAGAAAAGAGAGAGCAAGAAACGAGAATATTTAGAAATATCTGATTATAAAATTTGATAGGCTGTCTGTGGCGATGTAGTGATAATGCAGTGCTTAGTGAATCAATCATGTGGAAATTCCTGGTTCATGTCCCAAAGTCTCCTTGAACATGATAGGCTGCATGCATGTATCATGATCCTGGCTGGCTGAGGCTGGGAATGCACTGTTGTGTGAAGACTCTGTTGGGGGTTCATTCTTTCTTTTGCTCTCTCATGGGAAAAATAAATAAACTTTAAAAAAATAAATCAATAGAGAATTATATACCAGTGAGAGAGGCAGAGATTTAGGAGATACAGGAGAGACAGGTATCATGGATGCCACTGAGAGAAAGATTTTGAAGGAACAAGAGAAGCTAACGATAGCAAATACCTCATATTAGCACAACAGCTGAAGAATAGGAAGTCATTGACATTGGTGACTACATATCAGCTTGTGGCATCTGATAAAGTAATTGCCATGGTGGGGAGGAGACCTACTAAATTGCAGTTCTCAAATTTAAAATGTTATCAAACTTTTTCTGTCTATATACTTTGTTTCCTTAAATGCTTTTCAGTTTTAGAAAATTCCTATTATTGAACATATAAGAAAAGCAAAAGCTTAAAAATGTTAGTGTGGTTGGTGTAGGCAAAAACTTAAATAAGACCCCCAAAGTTCAGACAATAATTCCAAAAATAGACAAGTGGGATTACATCAGATTAAGAAGTTTCTGCTCAGCAAATAATACAGTAATTAGTGTGATCAACAACCCTTGGAATGGGAGAATATTTTTGTAAAGTATGCCTCAGATTAAAAACTAATAACCAGAATACATAGGGAACTGAAGCAATTTACCCTGCCAAAAAAATGATCAACCCAATTAAAAGATGGGAAAATGACATAAACAAACAAGTCTCTAAGGAAGACATACTAACAGCCAAAATGCATATGAAAAAATGTTCAACATCCCTCATTATAAGGGAGATACAGATAAAAACCACAATGAAATACCACCTAACCCCAGTCAGAATGGTAAAGATGAAAAAGAACAAAAAATGGTAAATGTTGGAGGGACTGTGCTGAAAGGGAAATTTGACATTGTTGGAAATGTGAATTGGTCCAGCCACTATGGAGAACAATGCAGAGGTTCCTCAAAGATCTACAAACAGAACTATCATTTGATCCAGCAATTCCACTCTTGGGTATCTACCCAAAGATTAGAAGAATGCTCAATTAGAAATGTGATTGAACATCTATGTTTATTACAGCATTATTCACAATTGCTAAGACATAGAACCAACCCAAATGTCCATGAACAAAAGAACAGATGGAAAAAGTGTGGCACATATACTCTAATACTATTCAGCCATAAAAAAACAAGACCCTGGCATTTGATAGAAAGTGGATGAATATGGAAGATTTACTGCTAAGTGAAGCAAGCCAGGGTATGAAAGAGAGACATTTTATGTCTCCACTTAACATACACTGACTGTCTGTACTCTGGGGGAAATGGAAAGATTAGAGGACATAGAAGCATTGAAAATGGTTATGGATGCTGTAGACAATGTGGAAAGAGAGTGGGAGATGGGGGAGAGTGTAAGGAAAGGAATTAAGGAGGAAAATAGAGAGGCAAGACAAAAAAGGATTATTATCTATTGATGATAATGTGTATAGTATCCTCAACTGGACTGGTGTGAAGTGTATTCATGTTGGGTAAATTCGTTTTACAAGCTAAGTGATATATAGTGATTGAATGTACAAAATAAAATAAAGATTAAAAAAAATTCAATGTGATTTTGTACTTTTTTCAGGAATGC